TTGTAGGTAGTTTTTTTTTGATCTTATATTTAAAAAAAAACTTTTTTAATAGTGAGGGACATTTGAATTATGTCCTTACCTTTAATTTAGGAACCCATCTTTAAAGATGAGTTCACATATCAGATATGATCTATTCAGAAGATATTTTTTTATCTGTTAACTATTACTAAGAATCCTAATGATTCTTTTCAATTTTGTATTCAATTCTCAAGTTTGTATTAAATTTAATAAATGGAGTATACCTCACTATTATTTTTAATAGTATCTGAATCTCATGTGATTCCCTGCAATTCTGTTCAATTCCAATTTTTGAAACTATAACCATTACTAAAGTCCTTATCCTTTCCTATTATCAACTTTGATTTTTTATGACATTTGTGATCTTACTTCTTTATACTTTCTAGTAAATACTTCAAGAGTTGTTCCTATAGTTGATACACATTACCAAATCTAGAGACCTATAGGTCAAGTGAAATATGACTCCTAAATCCTTTAGCAAATATTTCATATTATCTATACTTATTTATTCATAATTTTTTAATTAAATATGAAAAAAATAGAAAGTAAAAGAAAATTAAAAAAAAATAAACCAAAGTTACAATAATATAGGCTATTAAAACTAAAACTAAGTTATTTAAACTATAATTTATATAAATAAATAAAATATTTAAAAGATAATTATTTGTTTAGTTCTTATATTGATACTAATTTTAAAAACATGATCTTTATTAACATAGATAATAAAGTATAATTAATATTGTTTGTTGTTGTGATAGTAATAATTGCTATTATATATTTGTTAGCTTTTATACTTTTTATATTTTTGTTGGATTTGTTAATGATTTTAAGATTATGAAGTTTATATACTCAAATGTTTTTAAAATTGAAGAGCTTTTATAAATTATATAGGTTTTAAAAATATTTAGAATTTTTTTACATTATCTAACACTACTATCTAATTGTATATTGTTAATTAGTAAACTTTTGAAAAAGTGAAATAATAAATTGATCTATTGAAAAGTATCATTAAATTTTGAGTTGAATTTGAAATTAGTATATTTAAGATAAATTGATTTGTTTTATATTAATTTGTTGATTTTTAATATTATTGAAATAAAGTTGATTTTTGTTATTTTTTTTGAATAGTTGAAAGCTTCTTGAAATATTTTCTTATTACTTCTTATTTTCATAATATAATTTAATAGGCATCAATATAGAATATCTATTATTATATAAAAGAAATCTCTTAAAGGATATTCTGAAATAAAACAATTTTTATATTATTTATAAAGACTTTGTTCTAGTGAAGTTAAAAATGATATTGTTGACAAAGTTAATTCTTTAAAGTGTTGAGATAAAAAAGGAGATGGAGAAATTGTCAATAAATTGAAAGAATGTTTTTTTTTGTTGTGATATAATAGACAGTTTACTGATTATATTGCATAAGTAATATTTGATTGAATAGCTGAGATTAAAAATGATCCATAATAAAAATGCTATGAGACTTGTAAAGGACAATATACAGAAGTTTGCAGAGTATGTTTCTAATGAACAGCTATTGCACCTGATCAGAATATTGTTTGGATCAATAGAGTAATGTTTTTCTTTAAGATTTGTTTTTTCATTTATACTATAACTTCTCTTGTATGTTTTGATAATACAGTTGAAGTTGTGTTCTAAGAATCCAATTTATAAAACTTTTTATAATATTTTTTATATAATAGACTTTTTTGTAACCAATAATACAAATTGAATATTTTTATAAAATCAAAGGAAATCTTCGAGAAATTGACAATTCATTACGCCGCAGAGGGGTGTTCTTTATGCATCACTTGTGCGATCTGTACAGGTACGCTTACATGATTTCAAGTGAAATTTCCGAATTATGGAAATCCTTTATAATGACCGATCGGATATTTTTTTTATAAACTAGTAAAAAATGTTTATAATGTTAAATGTTATATTTTCGTAAGACTTATGCTAAGTTTATTTGGCGATCACGTAAAGTACAGTCTGGAGTTTCATTTTCTCTTCTTTTGCGCATCCATATTTTTTCATGCGAAAGACATTTAAGATTAGTTTGATTAAATTTTTTTATATAAAGTACAATCTTTTATTTAAACTTTATTTAATTTATTCATTTTAAACTTTTATAATTATTGTTGGTAATTGTATAGTATTTAGCTATACAATATTGTATCGCAACTCAACGCTTCGGACAATAATGTTTATTATGTTATCTATATTACTAAAGCGCTAACCTCTGTCAGCTTTGGCGTAAGGACCAATGGTTGGTGGGAAATAAAATAAAGTCAGAGCGTTATTCAATTGAGCTATTTCAAAGATGGAATCTGATGCAATCAATTCACCTATTTAGAAAAAATATTTATTGAATATTTACCTTGACATAAACTTCCCTACCATCCTTAAAATCTAAGATACTAAAGTATAAACAGTAACCAACTTAAAGCACTTAGTTTCTTTTGACATAAACTTATTAAACTACAAACTATACGTATTACGTTTGATTACGTCAGTAATATTTAAGGATAATATTAACGCGATACAAACAAAATAAGAAGATAAGTAGATAAGCGCACTTGCACAGGTGACGCACAAGTGCCGTAAGGGTGCCGCACGGTGACGCATAAAGAACACACCCTCTACGGCCGTAAATAACTTTGCTATTATAATCATAAAAAAAATGTGATATTGTTTATAAATTATATAAAAAACAATAATTGTATAAATAATAATTATTAAACAAGAATAAAGAAATATTTTCAATATTCCTATTTCTCATATAACAATGAAACGAACAAAAAGTAATTCGTTTCTTTCTGAAGAGAAATGAAATTAGGAGACTTTATGGTGTTTCATACTATACATTTCTAATTATAATTTCATAAATTACAAATATAATATTGATATTTATCAATTCGAACAAAAATCCCAAACCCCTATGAATATCATTAGATGTGATGAGAAATTTTTATTTATTCGGTTCATTATTCTTGCTTTTTTTTTCATTTGAACTTTTTTATAAGCCGATATTATAACGATGCTTCGATATATTATATTTATGCACGTTAGTCATACGTTACTTTAGAAATTTAGCATTCGCGATGATGCAGAAAAGTCAAGTGTATTAAAGTTATCTAAAAATAATCGATTCCATATTGTACAGTTTATTTTTAGATCCCTGTTATTCTTAATTACTTGATTACTTACCCAGTGACAAACGTGAGTCATGATAGAAAAAATAGTTAATCCTGTATTTTTTTTAAAAAAAAATTGTAATAGAAAGTTTCCTAATGGAAAAAGCCAACTAACTTGATGATGAACTGGAGTTTACTTCATAATGTTTACCCGTTACTAATCAGATTTCACAATTAATATATTCCAAATATGTGTAGACCAGTTTAATAGATAATACATTACCAAATAGTTCATAATATTTCTCACCAAACAAAATTATCAAAGATCTTTCTAAAAGGCAATAAGTTTCCCTCACCACCTTTCCACGCCCTGGCGCGCTCATCATCAAATATGGCAAACCCAATATGCTTGTAGGTTTTTGGTAAACTTTCACCGTTACCTGCATATTCATTGGTGATAATCTCATGGAATAACTGCGCCATGGCGCCCGGCGGATTACGAAATGCCCCGCACCCAAACGCACTGAGGACTATGGAGTCATGACCTTTATATACAATGTATATATATAAATTTGAGTGTAGTTTATATTATAAAAAAAATTTTTTTTACCGTTATCCAGTCCGATGTTCAAGATGGCTCTGATTTTGTGCCGAGTTAATTCCTTTGCTGCGGGAGCCAAGGTCACACGATCCTCGGAATCTTCTTCGATCTGCGGAAAGCACAGTGCGGCTAACGACTAAATGGAAGATGGTTAGTCCGGTTGCAAGTACAAGAAAATTGAAAATGGATAAAAAAGAACATACTACAAATGACATCTTTACTGGTTCCATCAACAAATCATATTTTTCCTTTTCATTATCTCTTATCACCAAAGCGTCAGGAGAATAGATTCCACCTGGTGTAAGCAATAAGCAACTTTACTTGTTTGAAATCAAGTAATATTGGCAAATATAATCTCCGCGATTATCTCTACCTGCATTGGGGAAGGGATACCACTGAATGTTGTGATACTCGAACAGGTTCGTACGACGAAACAAATTTTCTTCTTGTGCAGCAGCTCCATAGAGGTAACCTTTTAGTGCGTTCAATGGAAATATCGTTATTCATAATGGTGCGCAGCAAATCAATGTGTACAATTTTTTACCTCCTCCAGGATTTTCAGGATTAGCCATGTTAAGAACTATTGGATTCATCTCTTTCCTCTTCAAATCCAGAGCATAGCTTAAACAGTCTCCGTCGAAAACTTCAATTTTGGGATTCTCTTGGTATTCAGCCACCACAGGCCTCACTATTTTGGTGCCGTCTTTGTAGAACTTTGCATTCGATATTTCTTTTCGTATGTCATCCCTGTTGAGTATAACCTTCTTTTTAGTTGACTTTTGAGTGTAACAATGATGCTTAGTAAAAATATCGATGGTGTTATTCTGAATGGAAATACGCCAATTGGTTGAGTCGTCCATTTGAAAATTTTCAAATACACAATGCGTACTTATATATATATTTATATAAAAAAATTTTTTCTTTTTTTTGAATGAATTAAAAAAGCCCATAACACACAGACGAACAATTATATTAAATTAGGAGGTGATTTTCCTTTTCATTAGTTAAATGCATTTACCAAAACATTAATAGCTCACAGGTTAGTATATATTTAACGGCGCCCTATTCCTGCAACAAGTGAGAGTTCCTTTTTTTTCTCCTCCTCATCGCAAAGCAGAGATGTTGTCCAAGTTATCTCTCACAGGCAAAATAGTATTTCTCTCTATTATACTGCAAGCCATAATAGTATCAGTACTAGAATGTCTTGTGGTCTATTTTCACGTTAACTATGTATCGCACTACACCTTGGACAAACAAGGTCAAGGCATATCCGAAGCAGACTTGATATATCATGCAATGTAAGTGGATTTCTCGTTTTCATTGTAAATATTACCCTTCTTGAAATGTTTATTCTCATCTGCTTCCAGATTTATCCTCTCGTTAGGTTTTCAAATCGTAATAGCGGCGGATGCACTGTGGCATCGTAATGTAGTTCAATTATTGTCTCTGGTCGTGTTCAACCTCCTTTCACTCATCTACGCCTCCATACAACTTTATCAACACAAAATATTGGAGGATAGAGGATTGAGTTCAGATATCTTTAATCCTTCGAACGACTTCCCGACACACGAATACACCATGAATTATTATGAATCGAGGATGAGACCTCTGGAATACGTCATCATTGGGATGGTGTCGGGATTTTCATTATTCCTCGGGCTCCTCTCTATAAATCTCACAAGAGGTAATTTTCTTAAATTGTTTATTCATTTATTCATCAGCAAATTATTTTCTCACACTTTCTAATCGTTCTTTGCCATTGCAGAATTTGGATGGGAGAATTATAAAACTTATTCTGCCGACATGGATATTCGTAAAGCATACGTATCACTCTCTGTCTTACAAACGTTAATAAAGTTGGATATCTTCTTTATCGGTTCATACGCAATCCAACTGATACCTTCGCAGAAGATTGGTTATAACATGTCGATTGTGGAAATCGTTCTGATTTTCTTTTGTGGCACCATGATCTTGTTAATATCCTGGTTCTCGATAGTTCACGAGATGAAATATCTCTTGCTCTGTGTGATCAACATGCTATGCATCTCGTTGATTTATTTGATCTATGAACTGGTCAGAATTAACATTGTGAAGGATCCGGATCCATACGAATTCACACGAAGATTCTTGACATTCTTCCTGTCCACCACTTGGTGTTTGATATTTTTCACCGTTGTGTATTCAATTATTTGCTTTAGAAACATGATGAAGGGAATTTATGTGATAACGGACGAAGAGGAACTAGAGGAGAACCCAAGAAAAAAGAGATTTTCAAGAATATTGTCACCTACCCACAAACCGACATCAAACAGACAAAGCGCAATTGACCAACGGCGAACAAGACTTTCTAGGAGAGAAACATTGGATTAACATGATGAATCTTTATCTTTGAGGGATACATATTATCTATTCACATGTATATTTTATTCAACCGGTGCATTTCGTTCTGTTTATTAGAAGTTTACGTAACGATAAGAAATCTCCGTAACTTCTTTCAAATATATCACACAATTAAAAATATAATACACGTTTCGAGGGAAATATGTTGATATTGTAACATACCATGTATTATTATTAATTATGATTTTACTGAATATGAAATTTATTAATTGATTACTTACTCTGTTGTGACATAATAGACAATATAAACTTTATAATCTGTCCCACGCTGTATGTCAGAGTGATGCAATGTTTGCGCGTCAAATAGGTTAAGTGCGTACAGTGCTACAAAAAAAATTTTTTTTCTTTTTATTTGTTACAAAACGAGGGCATTGATGTTGAGGATGGGTGTATTGCATCATGCAGGAACAAATAAAGAAAATTATTTATCGTCCGGCGTAAAATTTCCTTAAGGAGTAAATCACTACGTTTCTAATCAGTCGTGAACGATCGAAGTTGTGAACGATCGATTAAAGAATGATCAAAGTCGTGAACGATCGATTAAAGAACGATCGATTAACGAGCGATCTCGAATGAACCTTCGCATCTATTATCATAATGCAATATTACTATACTTGGGAATCAATAACCTGAGTGAAAATAATAATTGACGCATCAGCTTCATGTATTCTTGATTTCAACCGGTTAACGTTTATAATTAAGTCGTTCGATCAAAACAGTGCTACGTAGTTACATAAAGATGACTATTGTTGACGTCGAAAAAAAAAAAGCCACGAGATTCCATGATTTCATTTCATTTCCAACGAGGCTGTGTTATGGTAGGTGCAGAAAGACAAAATTGGTTGATTTATTACAATAATATTATAACAAGTCTGATCGTGATATTATTTAAGGATAAGGTGTATATAAAGAAATTTCAAGATAACTACGTAATATTCTCGGATAAAAAATCAAATAAACTTTAAAAAGATTACAATATACAATGGTAATTAAAAAAAATTTTTTTTACTTATATTTTTTTAAATTATAAGTTAATAATGATCATTGGATAAATAATATTTTAATATTAGCAACTTTATAATATAAATATATTATATAATAGTAAACTTTTAATTAATTTTAATAACAAGTATAAAACTTTATAAATTTATTAATTTGTTATGATTTATTAATATATACTATATATATATATATATATTTGTAGATAAACATTATTTCTTTATTTGATTTGTATACATATATTATAAAAGAAACAACATTTCTCTTATGTGTTAATACAATGAGTTAAATATTAACTTGTTTACAATAATCACTTGACTAATATTGAAAAGAAAATTTAAAATAATATATCTTGTTGAATATATCAAATAACTATAAATATTTATTTAATATTAAAAAAAAAAAAGTTGAATAATAATAATATTAACTTTTAAATATATTTAAAGTAATTATATTTATAGTGAATAAATATATTAACAACTATATTAGATAGATCAATAATGATTTTTTTCAAAAAAGTATTGGTTAATAAGATTTTGATTTAAGAGATGTGATTATTAATTAATTTAATAAAATAAGATGAGTTGAAAAATTTGTTAGAATTCTATTTGATTCTAATGAATAATAAGATATTAACTGTGAAACAGTATAATTTTCAAATGAAATTATATAATTGAATTATGGTTTCATTTATTGTCTTAATCTAGTTAGAAAAGTTTAATACAAAAAAGATTTTGTCTATAATATTACAAGACCATTCAATTATTTGCCATATATGTGAAATTGGTTTTTGATTGTTATCTAAATAAAGAATTTAATTAATATTTTCTATTATTTATTCAAATTTGATAAAAGTCTCAAGGCATTTAAAGATATATTGAATATTCTTAATATGAAACTTATATCTTGAGCAAAAGGTATCTGGATATTAATTAGAATATAATTAATGAAAAGTTTGACAAGTAGGTAAAATACTTGAAAATAGCTTGATTTTGAATATAATTATGTTACTATTGCTATTGTTATATATTTTCTTGATATTTTTATTGAATTTGATAATAACTTTTAAATTATATAAAGTATACCTATATTCAAAAATTTAAGTAATAAAGAAACTTTTGCAAATTATATAATTTTTAGTAATACTAAAGATTTTATATTACTTAATATTGTTACCAAGACATGTATTGTTAATTAATATATTTTTTAAAAAATATGACAGATATAATTTCAATTAGTTTTGGTATTAATTTTGATGTAAAAATATCAAACTGAAAATTTTAATACTATATTGATTGATATCAATATTTTATTGAAATTTATATTTATATTAAATAAAATTATAATTTTATTTTGTTATATTATTGAAAATAAAATAATATTTTTTTTTTATATTGCTAATATAGATCTTTATTTAACTTTTTGAGAAATTTTACAAAAGATATTTCATGAATATATATACTTATAAAATTAATTAATAAATGATTAAATCAAAAAAAAAACTTACTAGAATTAGTTAGATGTAGTATAAGACTAGTTTTTATCATGTAACTTATTGTTATCTTGAAAAACTTCAAATTTATATTTAAAGATAGGTTCCTAAATTATTTAGCATATAAAATTTCATAGATTAATTATGTTTCTTTTAAATAAACATATTATTTATTCATTACTTTAATAAGGATATAATTCAAAAAACACTTGAATAAGTAGTCTAAATTGCAAAAAACCTTTATAAATAATTTTTTTTTAATCTTATATTTAAAAAAAAAACTTTTTTAATAGTAAGGGACATTTGAATTATGTTCTTGCCTTTAATTTAAAAACCTATCTTTATTCATTTTATCTTCTCAATTGTATAAGAGAAAGTATAAAGTGAAAGAACTATTAATTTGTCAAAATCTATCCTACAAGACTCCTGTGTCATTTGATATAAGAAACCTTAATAAGTGGTTCTTTGATTTCTTAATAGACATAAATTTTTTAAAAAAGTTATAAAAATAAGGAAATGGAATTGATATAATATGCATAACCTATGTACTGCAAAAAAACCTTTTTAAATCTACAGATCTTTCTAAATTTGTACTTGCATATCTGGGAAACTACTTAAAACCTGTCTATATGCTATTGTGTTTATTATAAATATACAGTATATAATTTCTATCTCTTTATGTCTTATTGTTAATTCTAGCCAGTTTGAAAATTCTTTAACTAGGATTTGTCATTTGCTTTCTAATTTAAGTGAATTATCACTATTGTTATCTATTATGATTAAATGAAGTTCAAATTATATAGTATTGAAATCCAAACAACAAAGTCTTGATACTGCATACAAATAGAAGCAAGAAAGAGAAGAACTGGAAATATTATAGTATTTGTTTAAAACTTTCTATTCAAATTTTGTGTATATAAAATATCTTTGTACTTGTTAGTCTATATCTTTTAGCTATAAAAAAAATACTATTTGACTTTGATCATTAAGAAACCAAATAACAATTTCAATAGTACTTTTAACTTTGTTATTTAAAACATTTGTTTAGAGATAAAAGAAGCTGTTTTTGATCTTGCAACTTTTTTACTAGCAAGAGTTTATTTCCAGATAAAGTACAATGTAATGCTACTAACATGAGAAGAGTTTTTCTAAATGTGTTTATAATATAGTGTTTTTTTTTAAGTAAAGAAAAGTATATTTTTTAAAAATAGTAGTATAAATAAAAAAGAGTTTTAGAAAATACAATAATATATATAAATATATTTAATAATTTAATTATAAAATTTATTAAAAAAAAAAATCTTATCTGTTTACTACTGATTTTTTGAAAATTTCTTTTTAGAAAATCTTCTTTCAAGAAGTATTTCTCATTCTTTGTTTTTCTAAAACAAATAAGCTTTAACAAAAGAATATAAAAACTTAAAAAATACTATTGCAGTGGAATGAAATCTCTGGTTAAAACTTAAATAAGTTGGAAGTTTTTCTTAATTCTTGATTGTATAAAAAAAAGTCTATAACATTTCCCTTTATAATTTTGTTTTTAAAAAATCTCCTTTTTTATACAACTATTATAATCACTCTTTTTTCTTTTCTACTCTTCTCTATTTTACAAATATATACTTAATTACATATTTAAATATAGTTACTGGATCTAATATTTGTTTTAATACAATCTTTACAAATTCTTTATTTATTTTTTTCTTTTTCTTATCAAAAACAATATTATATCTCACTCTTTTTTTTATTACTATCCAAAAATTTTTCAACTAATTCAAAAATTATATTCAGCTCTACTTCATTAAAAGATTAACATACAATCAATAACTAATTAAATTTTTTCACTTTTTCAATAACAAAGCAATCTGTTTAAACTTGGTTTTAACCAGTTTCTCTAATAAAAAATTTATATATTAACAATAATAACCACAACAATAATAATAACAAAAATTACAACCAACTGATAGCATATTGAATTATGAGAGTATGTGATTGTGCCTTGTGCAAGTTCCAGTAATCTTTATACTAGTTCAAATTAAATTATTCAGTTGTCAAATTACAGCTGATTAAATTTAAATTTATTAATAAAATATTTGGTTCAATTTATGTCATTTGACACTTAAAATATATAATAATTTGGTAAAAAAAATAGAAAATTTGATAAAAAAATAATTATTTGACAATAAAATCATTTGGAAATAAAATAATTTGACAATAAAAACATTTGGCAATAAATCATTCAGCAAAAAAATATTTAGTTAAAAAATATTTGATAATAAAGTTACAATATTCTGTAATAAAAATTATAGTCTTTGGAATAAATTTTTATTATTTAACTATAAAGTTGACAAAATAATTTAGCATTATATATTTCAGTAAAATCAAATTGTATATTTTCAATAAAAAAATTGCATTTGTAATAATATTTGACAAAATTTAATTAATACTTAATAGATTTATTAAAAATGTAAAAAATATAAAA